AATTCAAAGCTTAACTCAAAAAGCGTGACAAACGACGCGTCGTCTCTCACGCCGACCAATATGTTCACCGAAACGGCTGAATCGTTCGCCAGAGAACAGGCCATTAGAGGTGAGTCCAGCACTTATTGGCTAAAAGTATTAATAAATTGTAAAACATTTGCGTCTATTATATGATAGGAACAAAAAGACGATCGAATAGGAGTTCTTCGCGACCAAACAAACGACAAAACACTAATTCATCGCTTCATGTAATTGATTCTCAAATCCCTTCGTTTCCATCAATGCCTCAAACGGAGAGTTTTAGTGTCTATCGAAACCGTGAGTGAATGTGTGAACGAGAATAATGAGTAAAACGTCTAAAATTTACAGCTTTTGCAGTGAACTCTCCGCCCGACTCGGATGTGGTGTCTGAGAGCTCCCAATCGCACAGTTCGAGCGCCTCATCTAAAACTTCTGGTTCGACCAGTAGTTCTCATTCGAACTCTTCGATGTCATCATTAGGTTCTTCGGGCACTAGTAGTCGCGTCAGTGGACGCAACAAACGGGAGTCATCACGAAGTAAATGCTCGACACTATTGAGAGATGAATGCATTTGAATAACACTTATTTGCGTTCCGTTTAGGGCCGAGATCTCGCTCTTCGCGTTCAGACATCTCTGCGATAGAGAACCATAAAACACAAGTCTCTGCCATAGAGAACCACATAATCCCTCTTCAACCCAATGACTTGGTTTGGGCCAAATGTTCCGGTTATCCCTGGTATCCGGCACTGGTCTGTACACTACTCAGCACTAAATTAGTCGTTATAACTAAAAGTGATGATAACTATAATTACGTACAGATCGTTGACCCGGACCTACCCGACTGTCCCAATGGAGACGGGCCTCCGGTTCCGCCCAATGAGGTGCTGGCGATGGCCAACAAAGAGGACCGAAATAATCAGTATTTGGTCTCATTTTTCGACCAGAAGCGCACGTGGTATGTAGTGATTGTATATGCGATTGTGTGCACATTGAGTGATGGGTTGCTTGTATTGTAGGCAATGGTTACCTCGTAATAAGTTGGAGCCGTTGGGCATTGAGGACAACACTGATCAGCAAAAGTTGGTTGAGTCTCGAAAGCCGAGTGATAGGCGATCGGTTAATATAGCGTTCACTAAAGCACTCGAATTCTTCGCTCAGATCCGTAAAGAAATCAATTAAAAAGAAATTCATTTTATTATAATTATTGTAACGATTCTTATGTGATGTAAATATAGTGTTATTTATATTTGAGTTAATGTTAAGACAACCGATAATTAAAAGCAGAAGCATTTGTAATGATTATTCGTTAGTTTATTTTGTATTATTAAAAGTCTACATAAATACTAATTATTTCACAAATTTATAATCATTTGAAACAATTTTTATTAAAACTTTTATTGTTTTTTTCATCTGTTATAACGCTTTATATAAAACACAACCAAAAATCAAATCAAATGTCTCTTCATTTATATATAAAAGTTTTGAAATTATAAAATGTTTTCTAAACAAAATTGTCATTTATTTGGATGCTATCAATGATGCGATGATTTGAACCGTTTGTCTGGTCTCTGGTTGTGTTTACGCGAAGATTGGTTTCGCTTGCGATGCCTGACATCACTTATAAACTTTGAATATCTGTCTCCCATCTCGCGATCCGACACATCGACCGACTCGTCCATCCCTTCGTTGCCATTATCTTCACTCTTGCGATCCAAGTCTTGCATCAATTTCTCCACCTCTGGATTCATACCACGAAAAGACATTCTTCCGGACACCAGTCCCTCGCAGTAGACGTAACTGTTGTTTATTAAATACTTTTGCGAATCAAATAATATATTCTCATTATATTGTCTGTCGAAGAGGTCACCACCGGATCCGTTATCGCTGTTGAGTTTGTTTTTAGTTTTTTGCATAAATTTCATTTGCATTAAGTTCTTCGACAGCGAACCACACTTTGGCTTTCGTGAAGACATTGTCACCAAACAAACCAACGATCACTTCTTCAGCACCAAAACACAAACACGTGTTTCAATCACAACAAACACTCAATCAATTGCGACAATCGTTTGAATCCAACACTCAATTCATTACATGTTTTGCTTTCAAAGCATTTAAACCACAATTTATAGCATATATTACGTAATGATATGTTTGGTCCATAAATGACGGCAAACAACAAACCATAGCATTAGAAAAGGCGGCAAAACATGTGACAAATCAACTCTCAGTTGACTTGTTTTGAAACTAAAGAATCGACGGATCAGTTGATTGTGACAAATGGCACACAAAGTGATATTAGTCTCAGGTTTGCTATCATTTCACGATTACTCCCATTTGTATCTCATTTATCATATGATCGCAGCATTCAATGGATGGCAATCCGGACACAAATTGTTGCCAATTAGTGTCCAATCGGATCCAACAGATCCGCACACGAAGACAGAGTATTTGATGGACACGAGTGGCAACCAGTTATACGAAAGCACTCTTCAGACCAACAAATTTCAGTCATTTTTGGTGAATAATGCCGTCGTTTCGGGTATTTTTAGTCCATTAGTATAAATGTGATCACAAACTGACCGACCATTTGATTATCTCATTCATTAGATGGCAATTACTATGTCTTTACGCCAATGGATGTCCTCTTCGTTGTGTTGCCATCGCTTATGAATGTAATGAACGTCTCATTTAAAGCCACATTTAATTCATCGTTTGTTTTATAGAAACGAAAACATTTTCACTCAATGTATGAGATATTAAGCGATGTTTTGGACGACAAAGAATTGGTCGCAAAGTTTGATAAATGTCTTACTTATGAGATATTGGCTTCAATTACGGACATTAAATGTATGTCTTATGAAAACAATTTATGAAAAGTAATTTAACACTAGTTTTGTATTTTAAAAAGATATTAACGAAGAAATGTTTGTCCGCTTTAACTGTCAAAAGACAATGGATTGGTTGTCGAAGAAGATCGACAACACTGTAAATGCAATGATTGAAAACGGGATAAATGTCTCGTGCGATGGCTCTAAAGTGAGCGGATATAAGACCGGCAAAGAGGACGCCAATCGAGAAAAGGGTTAGTTTTTTAAACTTATTTTTATTAGTTTTAGTTTTATTGCCATTGAATCCAATTTAAGTGCAATTTTACAAATTGTCGATCAGTTTGTCGTCCACTTCATTGGGAAGAGTGACACAAACTTTGTTATTGTTTTGCATAATGTCTTGAATGGTTTGTTTGGCGTATTGATTGCCAGCCCATGAGCGCCGACTCACGCCATTCATCACCTGTTGATTGGCATTAATTTTCATATGAATTAATTTAAAATTATGCATAAATTGATGCCAAATGAATGCAATGCTATTGACTCACATCCCAACTAAGGATATTAAGCGCCTTATCGTGTGCTTCTTGAGAGCCGTCCAAAACTAAGCCAAACCCACAGTTTATGGCTTCGCCGAAACCGACCCCTAAAACAGTCAAATAATTTGTGACAACACTTTCTAATCAAATAGTGAACGGAAAGTCAAAATGAAAAGTGTGTCAAATATATGAGAATTAAAGCCTAGCAAAAGTACTAAAGTGTATGTAAGGTATGTCAGACCGCCTCCATTATGAAGGGCAACCCAAGTGCAACCCCTGCCAGCGTTGCCCATCACTGTTGAGACGGCCATATCTGCAGTATATGCCGATCCGTCGTATATGTTAGACGTCTCTCTGTAAGGACTGTCAGCGCCGCTCACGTCGTGATGATCTCGGGATAGAATGATCGGACTTTGGATTGTCTTGTTTTTGATGGCTTCGTTAAACGCCAGACCAATACTCACTCTTCCGATTTGATCCGAATATAGAATCCTCGCCTCACTTCCGACCACTAGATTGTGGTCTTTTGCTTCTGTAATCCACTTAATATTATCCAAATAATTGTCTTTCACTTCTTTGGGAATGTTATCCTTTTGAGAGAGTTCTTNATTAAGGCAACAATACTCTAACAGTAATAATACTGTATTTTAGGGCCCAGTTTTGGATTACAATGAAATATCTGTCACAACTGGAAAGGGATCAAACATTGGTCATGAATTCTGGCCACCCGTTAGGACTTTACCCGAGCTTCACATCGAGTCCGCGACTAATCATATCCAACGGAATGGTTATTCCCAACTACTCGTCGCGTGAAGAATACGACCGCTTCTTCGCACTGGGAGTCTCGATGTACGGACAGATGACTGCCGGCAGCTATTGCTATATCGGACCGCAGGGTATAGTCCACGGAACCACTATTACAGTGATAAACGCCGGCCGAAAGTATTTGGGGACAAATGATTTGCGAGGCGTTGTGTTCGTGACGTCAGGATTGGGTGGAATGAGCGGCGCTCAGGCAAAGGCCGCCACAATTGCCGGATGTGTTGGAGTGATCGCCGAAGTGTGCGAAGAAGCGTTGCTTAAAAGGCGAGCGCAGGGATGGCTCGACGAGATTGTCTCCGATTTGGATCTTCTCATCGATAGAATACGTGACGCAAAGAGGAATAAAATCGCGACAAGTATTGGATTTTTCGGTAATATTGTTGAGTTATGGGAAAGACTTGCCGTCGAATACGACAAAACAAAAGAGCTTTTGGTTGAGTTGGGATCGGATCAGACGTCGTGTCACAACCCCTTCAATGGAGGCTATTATCCAATCGGTTTGACTGTGAAAGAGGCCCAAAGTCTGATGAAAACCGATTCAAATCAATTCAAACAACTTTGCGAACAAAGTCTTGTCCGACAAATCGCTGCAATTAATCGTTTGTCTCAAACGGGGCTTTATTTCTGGGATTATGGAAACGCTTTCCTATTGGAGGCCCACAGAGCAGGTGCTGATGTCGGCGCCGTTAACACAGCTTTCGGCTTACAATTCAAATACCCGTCTTATGTACAGCACATTATGGGAGATATCTTCTCATTGGGTTTCGGGCCCTTCCGATGGATCTGCTCATCATGTGATCCAAAAGACTTGGAAATAACCGACAAAATAGCACTCAATGTACTCAAAGAACTCTCTCAAAAGGATAACATTCCCAAAGAAGTGAAAGACAATTATTTGGATAATATTAAGTGGATTACAGAAGCAAAAGACCACAATCTAGTGGTCGGAAGTGAGGCGAGGATTCTATATTCGGATCAAATCGGAAGAGTGAGTATTGGTCTGGCGTTTAACGAAGCCATCAAAAACAAGACAATCCAAAGTCCGATCATTCTATCCCGAGATCATCACGACGTGAGCGGCGCTGACAGTCCTTACAGAGAGACGTCTAACATATACGACGGATCGGCATATACTGCAGATATGGCCGTCTCAACAGTGATGGGCAACGCTGGCAGGGGTTGCACTTGGGTTGCCCTTCATAATGGAGGCGGTCTGACAT